CATTCTGTGTAACTATATGATGCACAAGACAGCTGGTTTTAATGTTCGAAATGTGATTTTTTTCTTTCTATCACTCTGTGGTGTGAAATTAAGTAGATTGATTGGATCCCTCGCATGCATCATTAAGGGAGATGATTAATGAGAGTGCAACATCCCTCAACTAACCTTGTCTAAGAGTAACGGTGAGAATAAATACTGGACATATGCTGTACAACTCAAGGTGAAGAAATAAAGCTGGTGAAAATCAAGAGGACAGGGGAAAGTGTACGTGTCATAATGTGGAAAATCTCTTTAAAGGTGGTTTGTTGGTCCCCAGCAGCACCCACTGAGGATGTGACATCAAGCTGGAAACCAAAGGGCCAAAAGCTGGCAACTTGAGACTGATTCCAAGAGTGAGAAGTTCCTCATAAACTCCAGAGTTAAAATGTCCGACTTCAGCTAACATGTTTACTGCCTGGCACAACAAACTGTTTGGAGGCAGATCCAGAGGCAAATGTTCACAGTATTCATTACCAAAAGAGTTTAATATTAAAGACAGAAGGTTTTAGCAAGGGGAGCACTCTTTGAGAGGAAGGGAGAGCGAGCAGTGGGGAGATGATGGAGAGTGGGCAGGCAGGTGGGTATTATAACTTCAGAGTGGGAATCCAGAGAGCAGAGGGTCCACACCAACAGAGGTAATCCAGCCAAAGCACCACAGAGAGTGAGCGAAGTGAGGAGAAGGGGGAATGAGGAAGATAATGTGCCAGAGTAAACACAGAACTAACGCCTGATGAAGTAGCTGTAGCAATCAGCCGAATAATGGGCGAATGGACCACTCCTCAAATACACTGGAGGCTCGATCAGGAAATGGCATACAGGTGCTCAGCAGGAGACCACACCTCCTGCTGAGCACAAAAACTCGCCCATCTGAGAAGAGGGAGAGGGAGAGAGTGCAAGAAGCAGAGAGGGAAGGAAGGAGGAGGGCTGGATACCGCCATGGCCGTGACAACTGCTTCTGATGGTAAAATCAGCCTAAATAACAACTCTGTCAGGTGATTTATTTTTTTTAATTAACTTATTAAACAGATCAGATGACTTTTTGTACTGAATAGGTACAAGAATGGTCACATAACAGGGACATGGCTGGTAAACTATGTTAGTAGAGCATTTAGAAACTGATAAGTCAGGTATTGTTCTCAAGAAACACTATTCAAGTGGGCTCTTCATGCTTACACCAAAAAGTGGAAGCACTGTGACATGATGATAATAGTGCAAACAGCAATCATAAGGTTGAGGCGGTTGTTTAGAAATACTGTGTCCAAAGTGTCTGACTTTAAGATTTAAGATGATATTTCCATCTCTGCCTAAGCAACTGGAGGTTTTTACTCACCAAGACTCTCATAGTTGGAGAGATCCTAGATGTATTGTCTCTTTGTAATGTAAGAGTTTTTCTGGTTGTTTTATTCCAACATGCATTATTTTATTAGAAAAAACACCGTCTTTTTTGAAATGCATTAGAGTAAGGAATGGTTTCAGTGGCTGGTGGTTGGCATTCAATACAAGCATATAATACTGTCCAAAAGTCTTGAGTCACTTCTCATTTTTCCTTTTTTGTTTTTTAAATGACAGACATTATTCTAATTTTAGTTTTCCAGGCTTTTTGAAATTCTTTAGAGTTGGTTTCTTTGGACATTCGTTGGTGCTTTTTCACAGATTTTCAGTCTAGTCCTTGTACCTGAGCATTTACAGAGAAATATTTACTTTGTTTGTTAACCACCTAATTCTGATCTGTGAATCGTTCAAGGATAAAAAGGCGCTTAACCCAGAGTATGAACTACTGTTGTCACTACACAAAACTAAAAAGTAAAAAAGAACCAGTTTTAAATTGTATCTTTTGGCACTTTGTTACCAGCAGCACAAGGTGTTCAACCCCCACTGCTTGGTAGGTGACCCGTTGTAGTTCTTGAGCTACCACTACCCAGAGCTATAAGGTTGTTGGTTCAATCATTGGATGCCAAGTCAGTATATTGTCACTATTTCATTTCTTGAAAGAGAAATAAAGCCAGGTGCAATAACATTCAACCAGCACAGTGAATTCAGCATTGCAGCAATAATTTAACTGGTAAAGATGAAGATTAAAAAGCTCTTTTAGCAAAACACTAAAAGTTAACAAACCTTGCAAAATGTGAAATGCATAGAAATGTCTCAGTGCTGTGCTAGGTTCAAAAGGACAGATAAGCCCAACAAATAACATCAGAGGTCTGCACAGCACGGGCTGCTGTAAATACACTTCTTCCCTAAATTGTCTGCATATGTTGCACATCCACTCCTGCTATGGGGTTAGATTTATCACATAGTATTTTATTCTAACTACCCTGTACTCAGACACTTGTCCATCTGTTTGAACATTTAGGACCAGATTTGCGAACGTGTTGCTCCACTGCACACTGGGTTTCAAAAAAGAGAGAGATCACAGTGACAGGATCATGTGTAAGAGGTGCCAGACTCAGAGATTCTTTCTGGGAGTTCCTTTTTCAAGGCACAAAATTTATGGAGGAGAATATTTCAATGAAGTGTGCAATCTGATTTACGAACATTTGCGACGCAGAATAAATTCTTAATCCATTGAAATTTCACTCAGAAAAAAGGCATGTCTTATTTTTTTGCGCTTTATATGGCGCCAGTTACAGTATCGCTGCATGGATGAGGCATCACAGAGTTTAAGAGCAAACAGACACTTGTGTCAATTTATTTGGATTGTCAGACCAAGAGGTGATAAAAATAAACAGATTACCGAGCCACCTAATTCTAAATTTGCTCAGTGTATTTAGAGATGACCTAGAACCTCCAACTAAAATGAGTTTCAGAGCCTGGGCTGTGGGGTTCAAAGTAAAATGGAAAGAAAGGCCAAATGATGATGCTGACTTGGACCCTGTCCTGAAAATAGTCAGACCTTGGATGGACATCAGGCAGCCCATTTCTCCTTTTTTCTTTTGCATTGGTTTGATAGTTTGAAGATGCTGTTTGCAATTAAATAAATAAATAAATAAACTTAACATATTTCCCTTAATAAAATGAACCCATTGTAATTTCAGGACCACGGACAGCACACATGGTTTTTAGTATGCTTCATAACTGTGGTGCTACTTGGATTTATGGTGGTATTCATACACTCGTAGTTTGCGACCTTAGGCAAAATCGCGCCGCTCTTGTAAGACTGAGTATGTCATATTGAAATGATCTGACTACACCAGTATTTTGTACTTTTGTAAGTCACCTGTAAAACTCACCACATCGATCAGCACTATTTGTGCATTGAACGTTTAGCAAATGTGGCTCTGAGAATGATACTCAATCAGTTTATTAGGTCTTGCACTGATTCACGGGTAAAGCAGTGTCCACCACAGAGAGTTAACGGTCCATTTTTAGAAACTTTGGTGGGGTGTGAGTGCTGACAGTGGAATAACTCACAGGTTGATCAGCCTGAAGAATGTGGTTTGTGTCACATTTGTACTTTTGTGGTTTCTGTTTTCTTTTATTTGCCACTTGCTGAGTTGTTTCAGTCACTCTGTTTGGTTAGGTACAGGAAAAAGGTGTGTGATTTAAAATGTGTTCTTTCACAACAACAACCGTTTTATGGTCAAAGCATTATTTTGTGCATTTGGAATAAGAATGGCATGCTATTCTTTTTGAAAAAGAATCCTCGTCTTTCTGCGTGATTCAGATATTTCAAATCCCATCAGCCATTACAGACATCTGTGATGTGGCTGTAGATCCCTGACTAAGTCTTTTCAAAATGTCCTGTAGTCTTCTCTCTCATTTTAATCTTGTCTTTAATGTATTTTGCTGTGATAAGGGTTGAAAGCCTCAGAGGCACCCGGGACTGTAAGATCCAGATATAGAGATGAGCTGGCAGCTAGACCTGATAATACCACAGGAGATCCAGCCAACCAAGTTTCCTGTGACACCAGCTCGAACCGCAAATCGCCAACAGGACAGCCTCAGAGAGTCATTAAGTTCTGCCAGCTTCTGATAGCAAAATCAATCCAGAAGCAGGAACAGTCGCCACACATGTGGCGTGTGGAAGCCTACAATTTAGCTTTCAACTCGGAAAGAAAACATTTACTTCGTTCACGTGGGAGTAGCCTGAAGTCTGTTATACTGTACTGACCTGTGCACTTATTAAATACAAAGTGAAGGAGTGGTATAGTTACGATGTAAAATGTAGCAAACATTCAGAATTCAGGACACATTTCAGACATATTGGTTTTAAATGTATACAGTTAATGTGTAACTGATGTGCAGCAGCAAATACAGTTAGAAGGAAAATCAATGTTAACTTACATTTTCTATTAACATGATTCTATGAACAGAATAATTATTGTATTGGTTATATATTAAAAAAGGTCCCAGTGGTGTCCATCATGAGACATTGTTCCCTTTTCACTTTTTTATCCCAAACACAGTTGTTTGTTCAATTGTTCATTTCACATTAATGTATTGTTCCAGCCTCTATGGGTCATGCTAACTCTCCACTCTCCAGGTCCGCTGTAGAGGTTTGAGGAAATGAGAAGTCACACAAAATAGTGGAAACAGGTGAAAAGTATGGGCAGAAATCTGTGCCATCAGAAACTGAATTTGAATAAGTTAAATTCGAATTTGAATTGTTCGGATTGAATCTGAATTTTAACTTGAATAAATGCTTTTAAAAACTGAATATGAATTAGCCTAATTTGAAATTCAATGTTCATACAGTTTTCTACCCCACAGTTACAGCATGTCTGACTACCTGTTCAGCATATGCAAAAATATATGAGTGTTTATATATGATGAGTTTAAGCATGTGATGACAAAGACCTTCCATTATGGTGTTTGTCGTCACATGTCACAGACATCTGGATGATAATTTGGAATAAACAAGAAACTAAAAACTTGTTACTTCATCTTTTATCTTTTATCTTTTTCATTATTATTATTATTATTATTATTATTTTACATTTTTCATTGTTAGGCTTTGGGTTTATTTGTAGTAGTCCTTTCCAACTTCTTTCCCTCTTCCATGTTACTGTGGCAGCTTGTCAGCATCTATTTGGGTTGGGAAGTGGAACAGAAAGTAAGGAAATCCAAAGTGCCATTAAAACCAGGAGAGGTTCTTATATTTCAGAAGAAGGGATTAATTCAAAAGAAATGACCTCAATGCCATATTTTATTTAGGAACCCTAGAGAGCACTTTGCAAAATAACACATTCTTATAATTTCACCCTCAGATGAGCCAAGCTACAACTGTCAGGGAAGGTGATGTAGGTACAGAGCATATGAGAGTGGTTAAGTTAATGTCTCTTGTCTAGATGAAGGCACAAGAGGGATCAATGGCAAGGCGTAGAGATTCAGTATCTTCAGTCTTCAGTGGACACTCCATTTCTGGCACAAAACACCTGTAAAAGATGGTCGATTTAGGAGGTGACCCGACAACTTCAGCCTGTCAAACATATTAATGGAGCAGTATGTTTAAAAAAAAAAACTAATTAAGCATGCACTCAGTACCCTAAGAATTATTATGGTAGTTAAACACAGTGATAGTCACATATCATATCACTTCAAACAGAGGTGATCCAGTAATGCTGCACTAATGAATTAGACTAACTATTCACTTTAGCTAAAGTTATTAAGTTAGCTAAAGAGTTGGGATGCTGTGTAAGACATAAATAAAGCTAAAATACAAAGGTTTGGACACCGTTTTGCATGTTTCCCTACTGTAGGGGTCTCTGCAAGCATACAGGGCTCTGAGAGGGTCCAAGATGACAACTTTGGAATTCTACTAGAAACAGTCGATCATATTTGTTTGTCAAAGCTGAATCCAGGGCAAACTACGCTAAATTAGCGTTTTTAGCTAACAGCTACAATAAGCATAAAAGTTACTGTACGGCTATCATTTGTTAACATGACGCTTGTTCTTATACATGTAATACATTTATTACCAACCTGAGAGTTTATCCACTTTCGGTCCGCTAGTAAAACGTAGTTCTATTAATCTGCGCTTGAACCGGAACCGGATGTAAGTTCCAAAAAACTGAATTTTGGAACTGAAATTGAATTGTAGAACTGAAACTGAATGGTGAGAAGTGAAACTGAAATTATTCGAGAGCTGAATTTTTAAAGGATAAAATGCAGTTTCAAAGCAAATGAATTCATTTTCAAAATATAAAATTCAATTTCAATTTAGTGATGATCATTTTCAAACCAATAAATTGAATTTCAAATTAGGCTAATTCAAATTCAGTTTTAAAAGCATTTATTCAAGTTACAATTCAGATTCAATCTGAGCAATTCAAATTCAAATTTAACTTATTCAAATTCAGTTTCTGATGGCACAGATTTCTGCCCATAGAAAAGACTTATTGACTGGCATGATGAAATTCTGCTACTCTTGTAAACTCTTAGACAAGTTACTGTTACAACAGATACTATCTGTGCTTATCTTTAGTCAGATTGAAAAAAAAAAGCCTAAATGCAACTGATCTTTAGACACTGTTTGGTGGAAGCTCATTTTTGATGTCACATGCATCAAAAAATGTATTCTGTCATAACTAGTGGTCCAAATTGCAATTAATGTACAGAATGTCCATTTAGTAAGGGCCTGGACTCCAACAGATACATCCACAGAGTAATCTTCTCTCAAGACTCTGTCCCTGTTCAACTCACTTAGTCTCCACTTCCAGGTTTGATGAAGATGAGAAAAGAAGGTAAAAGAAAAAAAAAAACAAAGCATCATGCTCGTTCTAAGCAATGATCAGGCGTCAACTACAGGGCTTCCTTCCTCTTAAGTAGGAGACTGAGAGTTACCGACAGATAAATTTGTTACTTCCAGGTATGCAGAATCCAAAGGCGGGAGAACAGAGAAGGGCCCACTCCTGAAACACAGGGTTTGGTTTACACACACACCAACACTCAGACAGATGGACAGAGAGAGCAATAAAGAGAAAAGATAGAAAGGAGCAAGCCAGCACAGGAGGGCTGAAGGAGCATGACACTTTTACTCACTACCCACAGCTCATGAGTCCACCGGTAGCTCAACAAATGAGTACAGACATCATTCTGTTTGTCAGTGTCCTACTCCACTCTGCCCTGGTGAAGAAAAAACAATCACAGGGTGAAGTGATAAAATTATAAAAATAATTATTGTGAAATAATTTTAACTTTACGGAAATATGAAACATCACCAATAAAAATTTCATAGAATTCATTCCCCCCATGTTTTGACAAACAACACAGAAGGCCAATGACAGTGAAAACTGTCATAACTTGTGCTGCGTGATTGACAGGTGAGGACCCAAATGCAAGTCTCCAGACTGTAGGAAGTGCGCAGAACTACAGCTTTATTGTTTAAACTCATAAGAGAGATTGTGACAAAGAACAAAAGGAGATGGAGATAATATACACACACACAAGATAACAAAGGAACAGGCAACAGGTGGAGAACACAGCTGAACAGAATCTAACGAATGAGACAGGAGAAGTAAAACTGAACGTGCAAGGACCTAACCAGGTAAAACAGGAAGTAACCCAGACAACCATGGAAACAAGACACTGAGATGACCCAGATATGGGGACATGACAAAAATAAGAGAGGGGTAAACAACAGTGAGAGGAGATTGACTCACAAAAGAACGAAACAACAACAAGAACGAGACAAAGAAAACAGGAAGGGAAACTAGATGAGAAGAACATGAGTGGCATGAGTAAAAGAGGAACACACAGGGAGGAATAAAACTAAGGCAACTGGGAACCAAGAACAAGACTAAATTCACTAAGTAGTACAAAAATAAGAAACAACATAAATACCAAGTAAACCAGGAATCTAACACTGCACTGAACCAGTTATGTGTTTGGGTGTTAGAGTGATGTCCTGTTAGGCTGATACATACAGCATACAAGTATCCAGCAGGAGTACAAGGTGCTAATATTTGGGGTACTGCAGCTGGTCACACCAGTTTGTTAGGAGTGTGAGTGAGATAAAAGGCAAGATTGAGAAGAGAAAGTGTGAAACAAAGCTCGAGACACCCTAAATGACTCAGTCCAGGGCTCAAAAATGAGGATGCTTCTGAAAAGGTCAGAGAAATTTGCTAATGTGGAGACACTTAAAGTTTGACAAAGAAGCAGAGCAGCATACTATGCAATCTGTGTCAAAATCATCTTTCCACAAATAACCTAACTTTGTGACTAACTCCCTGGCCATAAACATTTCTCTAAGATGTCACTTTCCCAGCTAGACATGGATGGCAGAGACAGCGAAACAGCAGTGTCATACGTAACTACTGCATCACATTTATGGTCAAATCGCACATCTGATCCATAAATGAGTCTCACTACTGCTCCCTGCTGGATGCTGCTGCCCCTCCCTGGGTTGCAGGTACTTGTTGGCTCCGGGCATATGGATGGATGTTCTGGTGAGGTTGTTGACCTGCTCCCTTGGTGGCAATGGTCGGAGGGGGGTTGGACTGCTTCTGTTTCAGGTGGGGGGGCTCTGCCGGGTGCTTCTTGGGTGCCTGGGGCCTCTGGCAGGGTCGACCGGCCTTTGCCTCTGGTTCTCTACGACTCTCACCCTTGGGCCGTGGCAAATTTTTTTTTAAATAAAGAATAGAATTAATACCAAGAAAATTAAAAAAACAAACACAAAACGTCTCATTTATTTCGTATAGTTTCGAAAAACCCCCAAAACCATTTATCCTCCCTCTATTCCTTTACTTTATATGTTTAATTATTAATACTCATTTGCCTTATTTATAAATGAAATGTAGTATAAATGAAATGTAGTATAAATGAAATGTAGTATAGTAAGACACTGTCTAAGTTGACAGGTGGGGAGGAACCCTACAATACTGTATATCTATAATATCTATAATATAAAGCTCCTTGAGGAGACTGTTGTTATGATTTGGTGCTGTATAAATAAAATAAAATTGAACTGAATAGAAAAGAGGAGAAAATATAAAAAGATAGAGCGCAAATACATATACACAGATACATACAGCCACAGTCTTCTTGTGGTGTGTGTGTGTGTGTGTGCGTGCATACATGAGTGTCTATGTATGTGTCTTTGTCACGAAATGTGCTTGAAAATAATGGTGGGAAGCTGCAATAAAGCCCGTCCCCAGGAGCCAGAGGCAGAAAGACATAGGTTCAGGAGATCTGGGCCATTCGCAGCGACCAAGACTACCGAAGACCTGAGGCCACACATCTCTGTGATATGCGCACGTTCATCCCAGCAGGAGAAGGAGGGAGGTCTGAGATGGTGC